GAGTTCACTCTTTCCTGTCGCGATATCGATTATTTTTTTCTCGAATTTCTACTCGAATTAAATATTTCAAGCGCAGTGTTAAGTATGCGTTAAGTATTGATATCTCTGATTGACCCCTTGTGTTCGAGGGATTGAGTTTGAACGGGAGCTGGTCTTACGATGACGATAATCATCGATCGTCCTACGATACAGTACCACTGATCAACTAAACTAACGTAATGAGCACTTTGGTTGCATTGTGTGCGGTGCTAATTTTGCTGCCGCGGCTGCGACACGTCGGCGTGCGTGTGTTGTTTAAACAGAGTTAATTATCACCGGGAAAATAATTAATTACATCGTTTGGTTCATCTTGTTCGCAACGTCAATCAGTCGTAACGACGATAAAGTCGTACAAACGTAACTGTCTCCTCCGATGGAAAATACACAGATGCCATTTAACACATACAATATATAAATATAATATAATATATAATATAAATATAATATAAATAATATGAATATAATATAAATAATAATATAAATAAATAATATAAATAATAATATAAATAAATAATATAAATAAATAATATAAATAATAATATAATATAATATAATATATAATGTAATATATAATAATATAATATAATATAATATATAATATAAATATAATATAATATATATAATATAAATATAATATAATAAAATAATATAAATATAATATAATAAATATAATATAAATATAAATATAATATAATATATAATATAAATATAATATAAATAATATGAATATAATATAAATAATAATATAAATAAATATTATAAATAATAATATAAATAATAATATAAATAATATAAATAAATAATATAAATAATATAAATAAATAATATAAATAATATAAATATTTTTAAAAAGCTCGAGAAAACTTATATTTGAAACAATTAAATTTAGATTAAATTTCTTCAAAAATTAAAAGGATAGACAAAAAATAATAGATGAGCTGATGTAAATGTGTATAGCTACAAATAAAAGATAATTGAATTTCGGTTTATTTATACCTTTGCAATCATCGATGACTAACAAATAAATTAGTTTCAATAAATTAAACAAGTAAATAAACGATTTAATAAATATACGGAGTAAAGTACAATTATATTAAAAAGGTAGCAAAAGCAAGCATAATAATAATAACGGGTAGCATAAAGTTTTGAAGAGTTGAAGGAGATTTTAGACTGAGACGAGATTAATCGAATGCGATAAATAGAATGGAACAATAGCGATTGTAAGTAGCCGTTCCTCGAGGAACGAGGGCTAATGCGCGATACAGGCCAGCCACGTCTTAGCGTCGCCATTATTCGACCAACAAATAAGATTTTATGACCTCTACGACCCATTTGCCGGGCGCCGGTCATCGACCGGCTCGTTCGCCATTTTTTCCTCAATAGCGAGAACAAACGCCCCACACATGGAATGCATTATAAATATTAAACTTCCGTATGCATGTACGTACAACTGATTAATTTGTTTTTCACTAATTGAATTGTGGTTCTCTGATGAAAATAATGAATTGTCGCGAATCAAGTTTTGCGGAAGAGAGTGGAATATAAATACGAGGATTATTTCTGGAGCTTGAATTGTCGATATATATAATTGTCGATATATTTTGAAGAGAAATTTTAAATTGACGCGAATAAGTCACGAGGAATTTTTGACGGATGATTCGCATGCCTCGATACTTTTTCCAGCCATCTTCTACAAGATTATCAAAAGTTTACGCCGGCCATTCGCTCTATCGATATCGTCGTATTTTCCCCCGACACCCCGTTATTTCCGTTCGATACTTCGCCGCGACTTTGCCAGGCGAAGAAAAATGGGAACCGGATCGGAGAAGACAAGGGGGGAAATATCTGCAGAGGGACGGAGCCGTCGAGTCGGCGGACATGAATTTATTGCATCCAGACGAGGCGAAATCGAACGAGGGTTCGGCCGGAAAGGGAAAGGGTGACGGACGATGGCGGGCAACACAAGGGGGTGGGTGACGGGGGTGGGACGCGGTAGAGTGCGTCGCTTATTATACTCCCGTATTATTTATCATCCTTTATAAATACCGATCTCGTGAGAATGCTCGTCAGAATACTGAGAGAAAGGAGACAGTGATTTATAGGGGTTTCGAATTAGTGTCATCCATGTCGACGTTTTTCTTCCGCGTATTAATCCGGATACATGATAATATACCGTGTATAAGTGTGTAAGTTGCGTTCTCGACGTTTAGAGATGAATCAGTCGAAATTATATAATCGCTTTGAATCGATCTTTTCCCTCTCTCTTCTGACATTGTAATACTAATATATCTTTCACTTACTCTGCTTCGATAATATTTTTGGGAATAAAATTTGAATTTTAGGTCCTTCTCTTCTACTTATTCCATGACCTGCATACGCGTGCATTTGAGGAGCTTTCGGAAATATAAAATATGTAAATATTTTATCTCGAGTTTTCAACTTTGATTTTTATGCTTTATGACATTGATAATTTAATAATCTTAATTTCCATAATATTATTATACATATATGTGTATATTTTTTTCAACCATCAATATTGTAAAAGACAGTTTGTCTATTTTAATATGTTACTAAATGTAATGTATCTTTAATAATGTATCTTGGCTATTTCTAAAAATATGTGATACGATTTTACAGAATTTAATTGACTTTTTCAAGACAGTTGATCAATTTTGGACGACAAAAATAATAATATATAACGAAGAAATAATAATTACCTTGCATATAGATATTTCAAGCTAATCCAACTTGGAATCTACTAGAGCGGCATACTAATTCAGATACTTTTAGACTCGCATGACCTGGAAGTAAAACAGACGGATGGAATCGAGAATCCATTAGTGACCGATTGAAATTCCGATCTAGTTCGCTTAAGAGCGAAGTACTTAAATACTTTTATGCGAGCAACGAACATCTTTCGCCATTATTATAGTTTCGTAAGAGTCCATTACCGCATCGGCGGTTATGAGATTAAAAATTTTCCAGCTTGTGAAACGCTCTTGCGTTGCAGAAAGCTGCTAGAATTGTAGGATTGTACTAAGGTAAAATTGTTTCCAGCGAATATTTACGGCAAAGATTTTTTTCCTTGCAAATTTGCTTTTGCTTCACGATAAAAATGATTATTGATAAGATATAAAATTTATGATAATTAATATAATAATTGGAGAAATTGCAGTACGTACAATTCTTTTTTAATACTTCTTTTTTAAACTTATTGGTTTTCAAATAAACTTTGATTATTTTATAAAATAAGTGTATTAAGTTAAGCGTAAAAAATACCCAAGAGGAGAATGAATTTTTAAATCGATGTCAGATCGAATGCATTTACAGTTTCTTGCGCGAGAGTTGCGGCGAATATCGTAAAATCGGAAATTAGGGGGCCGCCAGGCCAGTGGGTGGCAATGGCCAGGTATTTAAATGGATTCAATTTGGATCGGTGCCAGGCAGACTCGTGCCAACCGTCGAAAGATGCTCGTAAAAGATGAAACTCTCGGCTCGTCATCGGACGAATTAATCGCCATTGGACAATTAATCTTGGCGAGTCGAATTGCTATTAAAGAAATCGCGATGCGAGGTCGATGAACGATCCAACTTGAAATGGAGATGAAGACTCATGTTGGATTTAATATTTTTCACGCCATGTTTCATCACCAAGCTTTTAGAAAATAATATGTTTGATTATATTTTGTGTGCATGTGTATATTTTATTAATATAAAAAACAGTACTATATTTTATATTTATATTATATTTAATTACTTGTTTAAAATTGCTTTTTTATTATTTTTTTTTAAGGAAAGAATTGGAAGAAAGATTATCGTATCTGCTTTTTCGTGTTTCACAAGAAAAGATGGACAAATTTTTCCTTCATAAAAAAGGATTTATTTATTTTTTACGTATTTATTTTACGCGTATTTTTCTCAATTTATTTAAACACGTTTAATTCTTTTGTATCTGTGAAAGATGCTGAAATTTTTTTCTATCACAGTCGGATCTTCCTACTCGCAAAGAGAATTACTCCGAGAGAATTTCTCGTCATAAATATTTCACACGCCATCGTTTCGACTCAGGAACGCCGTCCGCGTCGTTTCACGGACGGGCAACGACATTCTTCGACGTGACTTCCGAAATTTCGCCGGTATTCCCGGCATCGGGGAACCTGGCCACGCGTGACAAGTGTCGCACGCATGTCGACTACCGGATAAAACCATTTGTCAAATTGTCAAACGCGGGAGGGTCTTCCGAATTTCTTGACGCCCCAATCGCGGGGATCGACAGCTTGTTTGAGCCGGAAGTAAGGTCCAAAGATATCGAACGATGAAGAACGAGAGCAAACTACTGAATATATATAAGAGAGAAAGATAGGCCGACATTTTCTGAGAAAAAAAATAATAAATGGTAAAAAATAATGACGGATATTTCTTGAGGTATTCTTTATGTGATCCTAGAAACTTATATAGATCTGTCTTTCTCTTTTTTTATCACGCTGGTGAAAAATAAAATATCGATGCTTCCTTCGGTATCATATCCCTTTCCGTTCGATGCATACAATTCCGACGCTAGGACCGCTTTTCCAGGTCAAACCAGACAGGAAACGACTCGATGCTGCGGGCGGTTTTCGCAATTAGTGAGTTTAACGCGCTCCGCTCTTTTTCGATCGCGCTTCCGGCGCATCGATGTCATCAAACGCCGTTACCAGATGTTCGCATTCAATATTTTTCCACCGACCGACTTGGAGATGGTGCAAATATTGCTCATAAGAGATGTATATTTTTATGCAACATATGTACTCTGTTTCTCAATATCTGTAGCAGAATTTTAATCTGTCACAATATTTCTACTATATACATGATGAAAATATTTTTTATTCTAATACTTATCGATTTTTTAATTAGTTTTTTTAATATATCAACGCGACAAGCATGATTTTTTTATAATCAAGATTATGATTTTTCTTTTACAGATGTCCTGACAGTGGGCCCCGGGCCACCAGGATGCCGACAGACGACGACTATGGCCGAAGAGATCGTCTCCTGTTGCACCAGCACCCTATCGCTCAATACGGATCCTCGTCATCCCCGCTTCCCGGATCGAGCGCGCCGAATTCTGGCAGCGTGGGGACCCAGATCGGTCCCAGCAATCCCAGCGACTGCTTCAAGCAACAAGCGGAGCAGCAGCAATCGTCCGACTTGCGTTCGGTCGCGAGTACCGCGAGCCAGTCGGGCCAAGAGCGTTACCAGTCGGATCAACAGACCCAAAGCAGCGAGCATGTCGGGACCCGAATGGTCGATCGGCACGAGAAATCCGCGGAGAAGCCTACGATCGACTTCTCCAAGTGCGGGGAGGGTCGTTCGTCGGGTTGCGAGCGCTTTGGGCACTATCAGGCCCAGAGCGGTGAGCATGTTGGGAGCCGAATCGGCGGCGACCGGCATGAGAAGGCCGTGGATAAGTCTTGCATCGATTACCCCAAGTGTGGAGAGGGTGGTCGTCCACCGAGTTGCGAGCGTTTCGGACATTATCAGGTCCAAAGCGGCGATCAGGCCCACGTCGGCGCTCGAATGGCCGAGCGGCACGAGAAGTCGATCGACAAGCAGTCGGTCGACTTCACCAAGTGCCCTGTCGACGGTCGACAATCGAATTGCGAGCGTTTCGGGCATTATCAGACTTCGACGTTCGGCCAGTCCTCCAGTTTGCACTACGGTACGCACGGCAGCGCCGATCGTTTCGCGCGATTCAACGATCTCAGCGCGCTGCACGGCGAGCAGCGGGTTTCGAATAACGATCGTTACACGATCTGCAATCCGGAGCTGCACTTCGACACAGCGGGCTCGAGCGGGTCGAACGAATACGCGAACGCGAACGCGCTCGGCGGCCCCTTCGCCGCGGAGACGTTCCCGTCGCCGCCATCGCCGGCACCGGCCAACGACCGCTTCGTCCCGCCACCGCCATTGTCGCCCAGTCCGAGCGAGAAGTACGCCTCGAGCCAGAGCCTGGCTGGTTATCCTGCTGCTGATCGCATTTTGCCCCCCAATTCTCCGGGGCCCAAGTATGGCGCCGACAGCGCCGCTTCAGCATCGCCGATGCCCGCCAAGGAGCGCTTTGCCTCCACCGAGCGGCTGCTGGCCAATCAGCAATCAGCTTCCGGCGATGCCAAGGATCAACAACGCTACGCTGGATCGTCTGATCATCGTCTGCTCTCGGGATCTTCTCCGGTCTTGGAAGGACTTCAGACAGGACTCCAGGGCAGTGGCGTTTACGCCAAGGACGCTCGCTTCACCGCCATTTCCGCGGACAGGATATTGTCCTCCTCGCCGATACACGCTCCGGTACCAGAGAGATTCGTCGGCAAGTCGGAGAGGTACTTGGCCGAGTCGCCCGTTCACGATAGGTACCCTCGACAGGATTCATCAGCGACAGCACATCACGAGCGGTATTCGGCGATTGCGGCGGCCACCGAGAGGTAAGCTCAAGTCAATTTATAAGATCACCTTTAACTTTGAGAATTTATTTATTAATTGGGATTTGTATTCCTTCATATTTAATATTTCAAATTGCAGCTGTGTTTTTATTATAAATAGAATTATGTAGTTTTTACGAGATAAACTTTTTAAACATGTTCTACTTTATGTTTTGAAATTCTCGTTAATATCGAATAATAATTGTAATTCTTTTATTCTATATTTTTTATTTTCTATACCCGTAGGTTCCTCTCGAATTCGCCTAATCCTGAGGGCGCGCATCAGCGCTATTCATCGTCAGATCGCACATCTATTCAAGTCTCTTCCAGCAGTTCCGAGCAAAATCGACGTCTCTACACTGATAGAGGCGTGGAGACAGTTTGTCAGAAGTATACAGACCGGTCCATCAGCTCGCCGGCATCCGCCGACTTTGGTCGATATTCTGGCTTTGCGGAAGTCGGCAATCAAACGCGATATGTGTCCAGCAACGATCGCTTTAACGATCTCGCTCTGCAACGCTGCAGTCAATCGAGGTCGATCGACAGATTCTCCAGCGATCGATACCTGGCTGGATCGTCACCCGCGCACGATGGTAGGCTGTCCGGTTCCGAGACATCGCGTTATATCGTCTCCTCCACCGAACGTCTGCTGGCGCCGACGTCTTCCTCGCCATCCTCCTCTTCAGAGACTGGTAAGCGCGCTTCAATTCTTGCTTCTCAAGCGAAAAGTATAGACTACAGACCCGGTTTAACATTTGATAATCTTGATTTTCTTTGTACCTAAATACGTTTGTGTTCTTGTTTTATAAATTACATGACAAGTATTTAAATCAGAATACACATTTCCGATCTATAGAATTCTTGCTTCAGTAGTTTGATTTAATAACATTGCTTGAAAAAAATATTACTGTTGTTTGAAAAATAATAGATAGATAAATTGAATAGAAATAATCGATGTATCTGTTGTATCTCTCTGCAATTTTCATATTCAATATTTTATATATTTTTTTAAATATCGAGGTATCTGTAATTGAAAGATATTATCTTTTAATATCGATCATTTGATACTCTTTTCCAGTCTCAATAGAGTTTCATTCCACGATTGTTTTACAAACAATATCAATTATCTGTTCGATATTCAGGCACCAGGTATCACTCGCCCTACACGACGTCCACTGGCACCCAATCTTCCGCTTCCAATGAGCGTTTCGCGTCAATTTCGCCGACGCCCGAAGCGTCGTCGAATGTTCATCGCGGCGGTGGCGGCAGTTATCAGAACACAAAGAGCACCGTCGACAAATATTTGGTTTCGAAATCGGTTCAGAGCGGCTATGATCGCTACTCGATTGCCGGCCAGAACGATCACCAGTTCGGTCAAGATCGATACTTTGCCTCCAACAGCAGTAACGACCGTTTTCAAGCTACTTCCGGAGCTGAGCGCTTTCACGCTCCTGCTGATCGCTATTCGCCGGCACGCAGCGTCACTGACAAATACCTGTCCCTGCCGAAGCCCAAGGACAGGTTCACCGGCCGCATAACGCCCATCTCCTGCGCCACATCCGTCGTCGCGACGTCCTCCACTGACCGCACTTATGGTTCGTCGAGTACCAGCTACGTGCCCCCGACTGCGCATACTCCTGTTGAACGATACGTACCACAACCACCTCCCGAAGTGCTCTACCCGGACAGGTAAGACTGAATATAAAAAGGAATTTGATTTAGATACAATATGCGCATAATTGTGTGTTTAAATCAGTTTATTTTCGCGAGAAAAATGCTTTATTTCGTACTAAAATCTCCTCAAATTCCCTCCAACTGTTCAATCCGAAATCTGAGAGTCTTCTTGTCTTACGATTATTCAGGTACGTGGACAGGTATATGCCACCCGCAGCGCACACGCCGACCGATCGATATGTGCCCGCGAGCGATCCAGGCGATCCATACATGCGTCGCGACCTTGGCTTTCATCATCATTACCGGCTACCACCGCCCGCCGGTTATCCGTACCAAACGCATTTCCGGTTCCGCGGATTCGCATACGCGACGTCCGGCCGGTTGGGCGGCAGTCCCGGGTCCAGCAGCTCCAGCAGCACGGCGTCTAATCAACGCGAGACGTTCGCCACGTCGCCATTGCTGAGGCCCAAAGTGCGCGGGTCCACGGTCGAGTTTAGCGCCGCCGCGACGCCTACGACGATGGCCGGCGTCGGTCGTCACGTGTGCGCGAATCCAGTCGCCTGTTGCGGAGACACATCCGGCAACGGCAGAGCCTGCTGCCAGATGAGGAGATCTCTGCCGCCTGGGACACTTCCGGCAATACCCACGCAAACTTCTTCGTGGTGAGTACACTTATTTCTTTAGGTGCGTTTGATTCGGGATGTTACTTCGCGAGCACGTTTCAAGTCCTCGAATCCTCACAGTTCAAGAGACGTAGTCTTATGAAATATTGCTATTTGAATGAGGAAATTAATGTGTAAATATAATGTATTTATTAATAATACATTAAGTATAATAACCTCTATTTTAAAAGTTACATACATTTCAAGATTACTTATCTTATTGTTAATCTCTCGTCTCTCTTTATTTTGATGAACATATAGATATATAGATTTTGATGAATATATAGATATTATATATTTATCTATAATTTTGTATTTTTTATATTTTTAATTTTCCTAGATATTATATATATTATTTTTTTTTCAAGCTTTTTTATTATAATAATAACTATAGAAATATGAATCTAGAAACGGAGCAATTTTTAAAAATAAATGATGCACAGAATGTGCATTTGTTATTGCAAATTGGAAACTTTATATATTACCGATATATAACCACGTTAGAAAGGTACTTTAATTTTTTGATATTTCTCTTATCTTATAGTTCTCATAAATCTCCATCTAAATTATAAATTAAAATTAAAATTAACATTCATTGATATGATTGCGATTGTAACATATAAATATATTTAAATTATATAAAATAGAGTTCAGAATAATTAATAATAATTTCAAGAAAAAAATTTTTAAAGATAAATTTTTATGAGATAAAAATATAATTCTTTGAATAAATAATTTAAATAATTATACATAAATCTCTAAGAAATTTTGAAATATATATTCATATATAAAATATTATAAATAATTTATTAATTGTATTTTAAAATAACAAAATTAAGATATATATATTTTACATTATATACAGTGATACCAAATTATTTTCCAATAATACAAATTATTTGATTACAGAGATAAACAAGCAATTAATTTCACAATTAACAAATAATAATAAAGAATAAATTAATACAGAATAAAATAATGAATTGAATAAGTAACTCACTTTATGAATTGCTCAGTTGTTATTCGATGCCAAATATATTCTCTCTTCTTGTTTATCCTCTGTGTTACTATTTTATGTACACTCGACACTAATTTGCGAGAGTACAGCTAATTATGATTGCATTCGCGTTAATCGACACAAAATACAATCGCGCGTACTTTGCACGGTTATTCTTGGCTATTAAACTTTATTATATCGCGACCGAAGGGCAGTTATCCTATCTCTGTTACTGATAAACAACATATTTAAACAACAAGTAGTTGTGAGATACCTGAAGTGTTTAATCAATAATTAATTTGAAAATTTGAAAAAGAGACAAGATATTCCGGACACATTTTTAATTTGATTGCATTAAATATACACATTTTAAGCAAGGAATTAATTGTTCACACGATATATTCGACTCCTTGGGAGTATAATAACAACAGTGTGCTTTTATTTACATACTATGGGTATTTTTCAGCAAGGGAAACAGAGGACTCAGTGTACCACTTCAGCCTTGTTGGTTGCCAAATGTAAACAAGGATGAAATGATTCACTGTGTTACATTGTGTCCTCTGTGTTCCTTGCTGAAAAACATCCTATCTTTGTATGTTGATAGTGTGCTTATTCAATGTTAGTCGTGCACCGAGACTCAAACTAGCAGCTGGTGAGCTGTATCGTTGTGTATATTTATATAATTTCTTCGAAACAATTATTTATTATAATTCGTGATTATAAGTTTCCACAATTAACTTTCTATGAGCGGATGCAAATTATACGCGATATTTGAAAATATATGTAATTAAATTTGTCACTTTTTCGCACGACGGATTTTGATCAATAATAAATGTCGTAATTAAAATCGGTGAAAAATTCAAAGTCCGAAATAATCATTATCCGTAAATATTACAATGAAACAATCCATTTCTGCGAAATTTGATTCTTAATTCAAGTGAATATATTTGTTTTCATAAATAAACACGGTCTCAATACAAGCTTATGCAAGTATTTATCGAGCAATAATTATTTTATTGCGTTTACCCAAGCACTAATAACGAACATGTCCCGCGATGTATTTATTTTGCATAGAACTCAAATCGAATCAAAATAAATCGTCATTTTCTTGCGATTTTTATAAACGATAATTTTTTTTAACTATGTTTTTTCATTCAAATATATTTTGCTTTAAGCTTCGAATTTTTCTCCGATTTTGATATAATTTACTAATCATTATCGGATTGAGAACGCATAGCAATTATAGAATCGAATATTTAAAGCCGTGAAATAGCTGAAGCGTGTACTAATAAATAATTAATAAAATTAATATTAATTATTAAATTAATAATTAATTAATTTGAAAATATATTCATGCGCACTTATATTTTATTATATTATATGTTTCGGACAAGGAATTAATTATTCATACGGTATATTCGGCATTCGTTCACGTAATAACAATAGCGCATTTTTTTACATAACTCAAATGCAATTTTATCATTATACCTTTCGAAACATAATTATTCTTTATATTCTCATATTTCGAGTAAAGAATTTATCGTTCACATAATATACATATATTTGCTTATCCTTCGGGAGACGAAATGTAAACAAGCGTTCTCCCTCTTGTTTACATATCGTAGTCTTGATGTCAGTCGTGCAGCGAGACTCGAGCAAATAGGTAATAATTGAGTCATGTCGTCGTATTATCTTTCGAAATGTAATTATTCGCTACAATTCGCGATCACCGGATGATTAATTTTCGCGATAAATATCACTTAATCGTGGCGATGGCTATTTGATTAAAATACTGAAAAGGCATGATATCTTTAACTTATATCACGTACTTCGCGCGTTAAAATATCCCGTGTTTGCAATATTGAATTTCGATTATATATTTTCTGACAGTTTATCGCGTCATAAATAGTCATCAATTCTTGATTCGCGTCACATCAGAGACCAACATTTTTCAGTAATAAAACGTCGTACGATTCCGAGTCGCATTTAATTAAGTAATATAATTTATAGTAATCTTATTTATCTTATTTATCTTATTTATCAATCGCGTATTATAAATTCGGATGTTTGTACATTGCTGTAATTTTTGCTGCAAATACATCTATCCATTATGTTATAAAATAAAATTAAAATAAGATTAAAATATGATGGAAAACATTACTTCTCGTTATCTACAGAAGTATGCCCTTGATGATTTTTCAGTGTAAAATAGATAATTTTTCCGTTATTCTTCCGTATAATATCGTAATAATAAAGTACGCATATCGTGCGGGAGTTACGTGCAAAGTGTCGCGCAATTATTGCATTCTGCTGATTAGTTTGCACGCGCGATCGTAATTAATCGTATTCTCGCGAGTGAGTGTCAAGTGCCATAAAGCAGCAACAGCAAAGGGTAAACAGGAGAGGAAGAGAAGGTTTACGATGGCATTGAACAACAACTAAATGAAGCAATTCGTGAGTTAAACCACTTATTTAATTTATTATTTGTTAATTCTGAAGTTAATTGATTATTTATCTTCGCGATAGTGATATACATATTTTACACATTACTGTATAATATATGTATGCGTATAAATTTTAGATTTTATTTTGAAATATTTGAAAAACTTGATAAAATATTTATAATATTTAACAGTTTACACATTTTTATAAAATACTTAAATTATTAGAATTAAAATTTACATATTTATTTAGATTATTTATACATGAATATTTCTCTCGTGCATCTCTATCATCGATGAGCATTAAATTAATTTTTATTTTATGATCTCCAGAAGACTAAATAAATTTACGAAAATTATAAAATACGAGAATGTGTAAAATAAGGATAATATTAAAAAAAGAGCCAGAAAATCTAAAAAAAAAAAGTTTTTTAACGCCATTACGTTTAAATTTTAATTTTCTTTTTTTTTTCAAAAAGAACACTAAATTTCAAAGCAACGAAGGATTTACATCCTTCGATAATTTTGAATCTCGATGTAAATTGCGCATGTAATCCCCGACGAGAGAAGAAAAAAGAAATCGTTGATTAGGGCAAGTTTTGGAACAAGCGAAAGTCATAGCGTGCGTTGAGAGCTTGCTCATGTAACGGGGAGATTATAAATGGAGGCGGGGGAGGATGGGATAGCTTCCGCAATATGCACATGCTCGCGTAATAATGCGCCCGTATAATAGAGCTCACGAATTAGAATGGAAGAGCCCCTTAATTGAGGGATAAATATTATTTACGGGGGGACGCCCAAGAGATTTTGGTTTAACACAGCATCTTCTTTAGCCCTGGTCTCGTGGATTTAACCGAAAACTATAATTCTAATCCTTCACTTTAAGTGTATTTTATACGAGAATATTTTATACTCGATTCTGTTGTGAAATTATTTCTTCGTTTCCGGTAATTTCAGTCTATTCCCGATACTTGTTTATTTTAATTTAATTAACAATCACTTTATTAATACTTATTGACCATAATAATTAGAGAGAACAATTACGCGTAAAATGTTGCGGAAGAAAATTACTATAAAAATTGGAATATTAAATATAATATCAAAATAAGTCAAAATAAATTAAAATATTACATTGCTCATAATTGATTTTATCTTTTAATTTTATATCGTTAACTTTAATGATAATTCTATCATTAAAGTTAACAATATAAAATTATCATTTTATATTGTTATTTATTTTGATATATATATATATATATATATATATATATATATATATATATATTATATTTATAATATTCCAATTTTTATAGCAGTTACGTGTGAAATCTGCAATAAGTATTTCTAATCAGTCTATATAAATATTTCTACAATTAAACATTAGAAGAGAACATTATTTTGAATATTATTTTTAAATAGTAGAATTGTCATTGAAACATACAAAAATATTCTTTCAGTGGATAAGTTCTGGGGTAAAAAATTTAAGCAATCATTAAAATTACATTAAGTCTCATAAGTTCCAATTAATTTTGAATCTTTCGCGAAAAGATCATATGCATTAG